ACCTACTTATTCATCACAAGGGGAAAGGTAAAAAGGAACTACTCACAATGAATAGAGAAATTGTCATAACATATTCTTAAAACAAAATATTCCACTATAATTATGTATAAAGAAAGTTACAAAACAAAGAAGTCCACAATACCTAGCTTTTTACTTTCCCAAGTACTGAAAATCTCTCCCAAGAAGATCTTCTATGCCCTTGCTACCTTGCTAAATAATCTCTCTACGATATCCCTCCAAATCCTCACCAAACACTGAAATAAAAAGCAATCTAAACTACAATTGAACTCTAGACTTCCCCTAGGATTTCCCTTAGGGTTCAGAGTCTTCACCCCTTCTTAGGTTGTCTAGAATTGCTCTAAACAACACCAAACGGCTTTATTCACATCATAACCATCGAAGGAACTGATAAAAAATTGCAAAACTGTTGCTGAAGCCTAGGCACCAGACTCTCTGTTCATTTCTGTTGAAATTGGCGCCTGGGCGCCAAGTGGATGGTGCTAATGCCCTTAGGGCCATTTTGCTCTATTCACTTTAGCTTTGCTTTGCTTCTTTTTCATTTTGTTACTCATCTACTACCTGTTATACCTACAATAAAAATACAAAAATAGATTTATTTAAAGTGTAATTCCATCCATAAATAGTCAAAAGAAAAAGGAAATTCAGCATGCTTTTAGATATATAAGCTGATTGTGAATGGAGAAAAAGAAGATGAGGGTGTCGGCATGGTCACGAAGTGCTCTTCTCTGCTTTTTCACAGGTTTTGGGTGCTTCTGCTGTAAAAAATGCAGTTTGGGTTTTGAATATGTAAAAAGGGTTATTTTGAGTGTCTGTCATGTAAAAATCTCTTTTCTTTTTAACATTGAAAAAAAGATGGCCACAATAAACAAAGTAATTTTAAGAAAATATATGTGTCAAATTTTACAAATGGAGAAGTTAAGGGATATAATATGATTACAATATTTTCACTAATTTTAGTGAAAGATTATAAATGATATCTTCAGTCATAATTAAAAAAGATATAAATAACAATATAATATTCATAGGAAATGAATATATCACTTGTGATGTTGGCAAAAAAAATCTTTAGCTCTACGAGCTATTATCAAACAACATTGGATGGTTAGCCTAATAAATAATTAGATGAGTACTAATATGGGCCTTGGTTATTGAATGATGTTCATATTGATATGACATTTGGGCAATGGTTTACAAAAACTGTAAAAGGTCAAAGATATGTCACTCATAGACAACCATCAAAAGTGGGACAATAGTAGATGTTAGGCAATGATCAATAAGGAGTGTCAAAGGCTAGACTATGATTGACTTGGTCACTCTTTTCAATGGAAGATAGACTAGGCTAATAAATAGACATTAGATGTTGGTTGTTAGTAGGGAACAAATGACGGTCTATGAGTTATATAAAAGTTTGAATGACACTGAAAGATTGAATTTTCCTTATAGAATCAGAGTCAAATGATTAATAAGATAGGTGTTAAGAATTAAAGGAGTGAATCTTCAAGATGCAAGAGAAGTGTTTGATTTACAAGCTAGAGGTGCTATGATCTCGATATGGTCATAGTTACTCAAGCAAGAACAATAGAAAGAGAGTATTGAGCATGTAAAAGACTTGAATTAAAGGAGTATAAAGCTTTAGAGAGATTTCATCATCTTGATTTACATCTACTATGACACATCATTTATTAGGAATTTTAACATTATCACGTTGAAGTTACAAGATTATTTTTTCTTATGAGAGGAGGGTTGAGAATGAGTATAAAAGAAATAAATAAAAAATTGAGGAGATAAGAGAAAAGAAAGTTAATGTTCATGGTCATTGAGCTCTAATGCTCTCAAGGGAGTTGAGTTTGGCTATGTATCTAATATTGTGGTTGTGTTCATTCTTCCTGTAATTATGACTATTGTATTGTCATTAATTTTAGTAATTATCATGATTTCTTTAGTTTTAAGATAATGATTATTACTTTAAAGTTATAAGGTTTTTGTCATTATTTCTATGTTTTGGTCTATTCAAGATGATATGGTAAAATTAACAACTATCATTAGTTGATTATCATAATAGTAATCTCTTAATTTTTAATAAGACTTTAAGTGATGGTCCTGCAATAATGTTTTGGAACTGTGGTGACCTGACAATAGGGTTTTGACATAACAGTAGCCTGATAATAGTGGTCCAAATATAATGGATGTGTTCCAATAACATTGGCTAGCTAGCGGTGATAGATGCGACACCACTGGTCAAACAGTAGTGTTTGTCAGTGTATCATGAAGATAGTAGTGACCAGCAATACTCATTCAATGATAGTAGTGGTGTTGAAGAGGTGATAGTAGTCTGTGATGGTGAAAACCTAACAAAAATGATCTAACATGAAAGACTGGGTGAAATGAAGATGAGCTGGTGATAGTGATAGTGCACCATCATAGTGGGGGTTGTTACATGTTAGTGATATGGCATAATGACAACTAAGAGATGTTTATCCATCCCCATCGAAGTTGATAGTGTACTAAAATAATTATGATTGTTGGGTGTTGATGATCGGACATAGAAACAACCAAAAGATGATCTAATGACGACAATAATGATCAGTGTTAGAGGCAATAACCCACCACCATGTTCTCACACACAATATTCAAATATTAAGCAATATTTATAATGAAAAGCATCGATATTAATGCAGGCTATAGTCAACTGGCTGCATTATACTGAGGTCATTTGTATATAAGAAGCCATAAGTAATCCAATCAAGGATGTTTGACTAATTTGATTTTATTTGTATGTAAGAAGGCAAGAATGATCCGCCAAGAATATTAGACAAATTTCAAGTCATTTGTATTTAAGAAGCCATTAGTGATACACCAAGGATTTTAAATTGATTCGTGGTCATTTGTATTTAAGAAGTCATGAATAATCCACTAAACATGGTTGATAGATCTGAGGTTATTTGTAAATGAGAAGGCTTAAATGATCCACCTAAGTTTTTTGATCGATTTAAGGTCATTTGTATGAATGATCTACAAATGATATTTGATCGATTTAATATCATTTGTATAAAAAAAGCCATGAATAATTCACCAAGAATGTTTGACCAATTTGAGGTAATTTGTAAATAAGAAAGTCATGAATAATTTACCATAGATGTTCAAACAATTTAAATTCATTCATATAAATAATCCAATAAGGATGTTTGATCAATTTGAGGTGATTTGTAAATAAGAAGCCAGAAACAATCCACCAGTGATGTTTAACTGATTTAAGGTCATTTGTAAATAAGATTACATAAACAATCTATCAAGGATGTTTGACGAATTTGAGGTCATTTATATAAATAATCCATCAAGGATGCTTGATTAATTTAAAGTTACATTTGTATAAGAAGCCATGAATAATCTACCAAGAATATTTAATCGATATGATGCCCTTTGTAAATAAGAAGACATATAATCCACCAAGGATGTTAGATAAATTTGAAGTCATTTGTATGAATAATTCTCCAAGAATGTTTGATAGATTTGAGGCCATTTATATGATTTTCCAAAAATTTTGACCAATATGTCATAAGTTATATGTAAGAAGTCACTTATAATCCAATAAGATGGCACAAATGATCCATCAAGGATGTTGGAACCATCCTAAGTTATTATGCTGAAAAATGTTTGATGACATTAGC